GCCCCCCCCCCCCCCCCCCCCCCCCCCCCCCGGGCCTCCCGTGCGCTTGCCTTCTGCGCTGGTGGCCCCACCTCCTGTTGGCCGCGTTTCTGGGCCGGGGACAGCGCGGTGCTCAGGAGGGAGACCGTGGGGCTGGCTGGGGACCTGGTGGCCGAAGAAGTCACGTGTTATCCCCCGCACCGTCGCCGCCGGCTCCGTGGGGGAATTGTTACTCAGAATCGCTCTGCCTTTGTCCAAACTATAAAATAAAAGCTTGAAATACGACCGTAGTTCAGTACAAACAGTGGCAGCAGGGTCCTCCATTCCCGTCTTCCCTTTCATTTCTGCGTGGAGAAGAAGCCCTCCCTTTGGCCCTCGTGTCTGTAATTACGTTAAAACGTCTGCTCTTTTTCACTGTGGCCTAAATAGGGGCCATTTTGCTTGGGGCAAGTGCAGGTTTCGGGAGAAGGAAACCAAAGTTGTGTGCAGCTGATGTGCGAGCGTGTGGTGTCCTCGTGGTGTCCTGTCCCGCGGGTGCTGTCCGTCGGCGATGGACGACTCGCCCCGGACCGGGTGTCTTGTGACAACAACATTAAGGATCTCACGGTGTCCATGGATCTAGACTCTCCTTGGGGTGCAGGCAGACCCCCTTCTGCCCACCAGTGGTGGTCGTGGGTCGGGTCGGGCTCCTCGTCACGGGGGCCTCTCCACGGGCAGCTCCCGCATGGCGGCGGCTGCCTCAGAGACACGAGCGAGACCTGATCTGGGAGGTGGTGCGCCATCCCACCACAAGGGCGTTCTGTCCATGAGGGGTGACCCCCCAGGTCCCGTGTGTGCTCAGGGAGGGGACATCACAGGGTGCGGACACTGGGAGGCAAGTCCGGAGGGGCCGCCCCAGCACCTGAGGTCCCTTTCCTTTTTGGGCATCATCCACACTTCTTCGTGTTTCAAAGAATACAGCACAAGGGCACCCGCAGAAGCAATCAGCCGGTGGGGGCAGGGCGGGAGCCGGTGGGGGCTGGACGGGAGCCGGTGGGCAGTTCTTCAGGGGCTGTGCATGTTGCTCATGTCTTGTGAGCGACGTCCTGGCTGCCCGAGGTTCTAGACCATGGTTTTAAGGGTGTTTGTGTAGCCTTCTGCCATGGACGACGGTACTATCTCTCCCTGGGTCACCCCTCTGGACAAAAGGGCACGTCCGCTTAGAGCCCCCGAGGACAGTGGGCAGGCACAGTTACCGTCCAGCAGGCGGAAGGCGATGCCTCCCCTTGGCGGGGGGGCAGCTTGCTTCCCATCTACTCCAGAGGGCTTGGGTCCCCTAGGTTTGAGGGTCCTATCCCAGAGCCCACCTGCTGCCCGCACACACAGGTGTTCCCTGGTCCTCTTCATGTGCCCTGCGGGGACTGGAGCTCAGGGCGGGCAGGATGGATACCAACACAGGCTGTAACTGCAGGTTTGGGGGGGGCGCGAGGCAGCAGACGCCCCCACTGCCGCCACGGGGGAGGAAGATGTGGGGCAGCCTGGCACTCCCCTCCCACCGGCCAGGGGTCCGGCTCTCACTGCACAGATGCTTCCTTCATGCCCAGGGGCAAGTCCAGTCCATGGGGACTCTCGGCTGTGGTTGGGCAGTGCATGGCAAGGAGGGCCTGGAAGCTGAGAGTGCACACAGCCATGGCCTCTGCCCTGAGGCGGCTTTCCAGCGCCCCGCACGGAGCCCCTGCTCTTTCAGTCTGAGCGTGGGTCAGAGGTGAGCACCGGCCTTCCCAAGGGCTCTCCTGGCTCATGTGCAGTCCTGGGGGAGCCCCGGGTCCCTCGGGGTCTCCTTTCCCCCTTGGAGGCGAGGGGGCGGAGGGCAATCCCTGTGAGCTCTCATGTCCCCTCCAACTCTGGAGAAGCAGGAGGGAGCTCAGCGGGTCCAGCCGCCTGCATGTGGCTGTCCTGCCTTGATGCCCGGTCAAAGCAAATCTGATAGGAGATCAACCACGGGGCAAAAGGCAGATCATTGCTCCTAACTTAATCCCCGACTTCTCAACAACGGGCCTGTTGTTCGGAGGACAGAGTCTGATCTGCAAGGCAGCAGGGAGGTTCCTGGCTGCAGTGAGAGCCGGGATTCATGATGAGGTGCCGCGCTGACAGCACAGAGCTATGCTCCTTCAAGCCCCCCCCCCCCCCCCCCCCCCCCCCCCCCCCCCCGCCCTGGAAGCGTGGGCGGAGGTGGAGGAGGGAGCCCAGCCCGCGGCAGCCGGTGGTACCGCCAACCCACGGGTCCACGCTGCCATCCAGCGGCGGGAGGAGGACATGCGTCTGGAGCCAGGAACGCGAGGAGTCGGCAGAACACAGATGCTGGGGGTGGGGGGACTCTTTAGGATGGGTTGTGCATGTGCGCATGCGCGTGCTTGTATGTGTGCATCGGTGTGCATACGTGCACATGCATATGCGTGTGTGTGAGAGAGAGGAGTGGAGCAGTTAGAGGCAGAGGGGGAGAGATGCTGCGGAACAAAGGGCAGGCAGGCAGGCAGGGAAAGGAGGGGCTCTGGCCGCGGACCCAGGGGAGCCATGTCCTTCAGAAAACCCTCAGCCATGTGGTTCCTCCTCCACGTCCCCAGGGCGGTGGCGGCCATCTAGATGGACAAAAGAAAAGCCCACTCCGGGGAAGGATTGGTGGTTCTGACTGTCAGAGGAGGAGGAGCTCTAGGAAGGGGATGGGATTAATCTCTGGTCTCAGTGTCCCCGCACAAAGCCTGGTCCAGGCCGGGAAGATGATACAGGGGCGTTTCTGCGTGGGCAGGTTCGGGTCCCTGACTGGTGTCGTGAGACTGTCCGTCATTCTTCCCGGGGCAGAATAGTATTCTGTTCCAGCCTCATTCAGACTTGAGCAACGACTCTCGCTATATTCCTGTGCCGGGTGGCTCCCCCTGGGGGCTGTTTGGACAGCGTGCTCACCCTAGTTCCTTGGGGGACTGGGTGGGCAGGTGAGGACCGAGGGACAGTCACCAGGCATTACCCACATTAATCCAGCAGATCCGAACCAAGGGTGGGAGGTGTTTCTTAGCCGTAAGCAAGAAAATCAAAGTCTGGCTAATTTAAGCAGAAAGGGGATGCGTTGAAAGGTTTTTGGGAGTTCACAGGAATTTTGGAAAGACTGGAGAGCCATTGGGGACCACGTAGAAGGGAACAGAGCCCATGAATCATGCTGCAGAGGGACCCAGCTGCCGCTCTTGCCATACAAGCTGCATTGGTATTTCACTGGCTCGCCTCCAGAGTCTGGAGGGCAGGTCTGTGTGGGTACGTAGTGTTCTGGGGCCATTTTGTGCAGCTGCACAGGTTGTGCACTGCACAAATCCAGAGAAGCCATTTCCAAGAACTACCACACGTGGTGGCTGGTATATGTCTGTGCCCGAGCTATAAGGAAGGCTGGGAAAGCACACAGTTTTCAGTGTCTCTGGTGGGAGGAATACTGCTTTCCAAGTATGAGCATAAACCAAATGTGCTGTATCGGTTAGTTTTTGCTGTGTAACGACCCACCCAAAGCTTAGTGACTTCAAATAGTAACCATGTTTTTACCCATTCCCGGTGATTCTAGGGGTCAAGCATTTGGGCTGGGACTGCAGGGTGGGCCTTCTGGTCACGGCTGGGCTCCCATGTCTCCTGACAGCTGCCAGAGTGGTCACGTCTCGGTGAGCAGGCCACGATTCTCTCCTCAAGTGACCAGCCTGAGGGGGTGCACAAGGTAGCAGTTCCAGAAAGCAGGAGTGGGCCCACAAGGCTGCCTGAGGCCCAAGCCCCGAGCAGGAACGATGTGGCTCTGTCACCTTCTACAGCTACGTGCTAAGGTGCGTCTGGGTTCAAGGGGCCACGTGTGGTCTGAGAAGACGCAACAGGATCTGGACGGTTGTGGCCATGTTTGCAATCTGCCACCCACAGGAAAAAGGGCAGATATGTCCCGACAGGACGGTGGGAGCAGGAAGGACCTTGCAGGTGGTCAGCCGGGGTTTGGTGCGTGTGAACAGGAGGGAGGAGCCCCTGAGGGGATGCGCGCTGCAGGCTGGATCCGTTCCTTTATCTCTGTCTGAAGGTGCAGCAGGTGCTGTGAGCTGCAGTGGGTCCTGCCGCCAAAGTCAGGGCCTGGGAGGAGGTTGAGGCACAAGGTGGGTTGCGAAGGCAGAAGTTTCTAGCATCGCGCTGGGGTTCAGGGGCAGCGGGCTGCTTCTGGCTGTGGTGTCCTGGCTCGCCCGTCAGGCCATGCCAATGGGGCCATGCCCAGCCCCGGTGACCCTGAGGGGCACCCCACCTGCTTCATCCACGGGCTCAGATGGCACGGAGGCAGCACCCCAATGCGGAAAGAGCCCACGCCTTCAGTCCCTGTTCTTGCTGCCATGGGCCAGCCTCACCCCAAACCTTTCTACCCATCATCCCCCATCAGGGTCCCTCGTGGGGATCAGTTACCCGCTGCTGGGTCACTGACGACCCTACAAGCCGGCAGCTGTGCACTGTCTCGTACGGGTTCTGTGGCTCAGCAACGTGGGAGCAGCTGAGCTGGCTGGCTGGTTCCGGCCCTGGCTCCTCTGGGGCTGCTGTCGAGGTGCACCGCGGGCGGCTCTCAACTCCAGCCTCTGGGTGAAGGGTCTGCTCTCGCCGCTCCCATGGCCCCGACGGGCTCCCATCCAGCTCCAGGCTCTGGGACCACCACTCTGCTGGCTCTCGTCTTCCTCCTCCCCCCACAGCGCCGTCTAGAAGCACGGGCACAGAGGCGGGAGGGCTGTTTCCACGTTGCCGCACGCGGCATCGAGCACGTGGAACTGAGTGAGGCAGGGGACGTAAACTCTAAATTTAATTCAACTTCTATTAAATTAACTTTAATTTTATTTTCATTTATTATT